GGCAACTGAGTAATGGAAAGAGTCGGTTTTCGGATTCCATTGAAGTCCCAATACTTGGACGGCGGTTGATTGATTGAATTGGAGGAAGGGCAAACTGGCTTGCCCAGCAGAGGGGATGCTCTCGAGAATCGATGGCTCATTACTTGTCCATTTCTGGAGAGAAAATCCGCCCGCCTTGCACAACGAGTTGACTTGCTGTACGATTTCTTTGACACGAGGGATCGTGTCCGCACCTCCGAAGATGTCATCGACGTATCTTCCTTTTTTGAGAGATGGAATTGCGTGAGGAAAGGTATCTCCTTCATCTTCTATTAGTTGTGCGAGAGTGCGTAAAGCTAAAAAGGGTGCACAAGCGAGTCCGTAAGTTACGGTGGTCAATTGATAGGTTTCGACATCCTTGTCCTGATTGAGCCATAAAATCCGTTGAAAGGTCCAGTCATCTTTATGGAGTTTGATTTGTCGATACATTTTCTCCATATCCGTTGAAAAGACGTATAAAAACTTTCTGAACCAAAGGAGAACGTCAAAGACATCAGTCTGAAGCTTTTCTCCGGTATATAGAATATCATTAAGGGAGAGACCGGAGGTAGTTTTATTCGATCCATTAAAAACAACTCTCAATTTTGTGGTCGTACTGGTTTCTCGAAGAACTCCATGATGAGGAAGATAGTAACTTAACTCCGGCTCTGATTGATGATCAGGGACTAATATCATGTGATCAAGTCTATGATATTCACTCAAAAATTCGGAATAAGCTTTTGCATAAGAAGGATCATTCGCGAATCTCTGGGATAGACTATACATTACGCGAAGAGCCTTTAAACGAGAGCCTCCTAATACATCAGGAGAACGTTTGAAAGGAAGTCTAACAATATATCGACCTTCTTCATCTCGAGAGTGAGTTTCTTTATAGTGATGCTCGCATCGTTGCTCATCAACTGACAGCTGCGAGGTATTTGAAGGGATTATGTCTTCCACCTTCCAAAATTGTTGTAGAAGATCATACAGATCTTTATCGACAGATAGGTGATAGCCCTGTGAGAAAGTTGTATCGCTATTAAAGCTCACAGGACCTGATAAAATCCACCCGAACTTGGTGAGTTGAGCGATAGGTGAGGTTGCGTCTCCTTTAATGAGTCCATCTTCTATGATTTGAGAATAGAAATCGGCTCCGATGATTATGTCAACTGGACCAGGAGTCATAAAACAATGATCAGCTAAGTCCAATCCCTTTAAGTGCGGCCAATTCTGAACCGGAACTTGAACTGACGGAAGGGAGGAAGTCAAGTTCGCTAAAATATGTGCTGACATATGAATTTCAGTAGTAGAATCAAAGCGTGATTTGACCTTGAAGGACGTGATACCTTTAGTTCGGTTTGCTCCTTTTCCACCGACTCCGATTAAAGATATGAAGGAATTCTTTCTGGGTAGACGAAGCACTTGCACCAGGTGTTCTGAAATCAGGGTGAGCTCAGAGCCCTGATCAATCAACGCTCTTGCTTGTACAGAGTCTCCTTCCTTTGTAACAACCAATACTTGAGCTGTTGCTAATAACACGCTAGAGTTAACCGAGAACTGGTTCACGGAAGTATGAAGAGAATGACTTTCCTTTTCCTTGGCGTCCGAGGAGTTCTCCGATGTTGACGGTTCTGCAGATGGTTTTACAGGAGAGTGAGGTTTCTGATGAAGCGTAGTATGGTGCTTTTGTCCACACTTTAGACAGCGTTTGGTTGTCCGGCAGGTAGATACTTTATGATGTCCGAGACAGTTATAACAGAGTTTATTCTTTTGAACCATAGTCTGCCTCTGTTGTAATGATTTCGAGTGATATTGAGGGCAACTTGCAATATAATGATGTGCCGAACACAGAATACAGGAAGTATTCTTGTCTACTTGAGTTTCCTTTGCTTTGCGTTGAAAGTGAGATTTGCTGGATGTAGAGTTCATTGCATTTGACGATTTTCCTGTACGAGATTTCTCAAAGGCTTGTAGCGAAAGTAATCGGGAAAGTAAAAACTCAAGAAGTTGGTTCCACGTCGGAGGTTCCTTTGATGAGCCTAAAAGATGTTCCCATGTTTTAACTGACTCAGCATCAAGACGTTGCACAACGATGAAAACAAAGATATCATCCCATGTTTGGACGGGCCTTCCTAATGTGTCTAGTGCGCGGTAAATTTGCGTTACATTGGTGTAAAGTTGTTCCATCTCAGCTGCAGACTCTTTAGTCATGCGTTTAAGAGTCATAAGAGAATGTAAGGCGGAATGAACCAGAAGTCTTTTGTTTTCATAAAAGGAAATCAAAGAATCCCAAGCCTTTTGAAAATTGTCGGCTGTAAGGGCAGTATTTTTTAATAAATGAGAAGCAGATCCAACAAGACTGGTTTTAAGATACTGCAGTTTTTCTACAGAAGTCAATGTGGGGTTGGCTATGATAAGAGAGTTAAATAAATCCTTAAATGAGAGCCATTCCGATGGTGATCCGTTGAATTTAGGGATATCAATTCGCGGAAGGCGAGCGTGATGAAAGTAAACAGGAGCATTAAGGATTTGTGATGATGACTGAGTCGAGGGCGTGTCAGTAATACTTTCCGTATCATGTTCGAGAAAAGACGACATTCGTTCAATTGCTTCTAGATAACATTCGTACGTAGTTGAATACGAATCATCTAAAAAGTATGAATGTTGTTGTAACAGTACCTTTTCTCCTGGAGTGATTTTTGTCATTGCTAAAAATATTGCCTCGTGTATAATAGAGAATTTCTCCCAAGCCTCCTGGAGGGCGGACAACCGAGCGCGTGCTCGTTGGGGTCTAACATTGCTTTGACCTATCTTGACGAGATTTTCGACTGAGTTTGAGATTAGATCCTTGAGAGAGAGTTGCTGCTCTAATCGAGCCTCAATATGGCTAGGTCTCATGCCCCAAGCTGCCTGCCGAGATCCGGCTCGAAGGACCAAATGTTTAGAAAATAACTGCTTTTACAAT